GCCCCCCCCCCCCCATCCTCCGTACACACCACTGTATGACAATACAATAGTTTTAGTTGCAATAACAATCCAACATATAATATCTATGCAAACTAAGTGCCTAATAATAGCAAAATAGATATATGCCATACCATAGAAATGACTGTCTGTATTTAAAATAATTCAGCCTGTTTTAAAGGTCCTCATGCTTTGTAGGTTTTTAACTGTCCTTTATTTGCCCAAGTACCAGTGGTTTTGGACTTGATATTGTTTATTTTATTAACTGATGGCACTTCACAGCAGCTGTTGTGTTGCTTTAAAAGTATTTTTAGTTGTTGTCCAAAAGTGCAATTAATTAATTATTTAATGCATAAAACTTTTTAATTAGCGAATAATTACTGAGTGCACATAAATTGACTATAGGCCAGAAAACAGAGATCCAAGTGTTAACCCAACATATAAATTATTAACTGAAGTCAATTGTGCAAGTCACTTAATTATTCAGAGACGCACAATTATCCTAATTCAGTCATTCCAAATGCACGAGAGAGGTCATCTTATCTCCTGGAGCAACTAACTGTAAATACATTCTTATCGCGCCTATTCTACATTCAAGCTGGTCACAAAGTTCACTAGTATGTTAACATAGCTATCATTTATTTGTAGCTAAAGCAAGAATAATCGGTAGGTTCGTCTATTTGTAAAAACAGTGCGCTCTAAGTAAAAAACAGAGCTGAGTTTAAGGAACCGCCCTAAAGCCGGCGTGGAAACGTGATCTAACACGCGGCTGTGTGTGAATCTCGTGCTCGCTCATTCGCGCTGCAGACTCTCGTGCAGGCTTTTATGATCTAAGTGAGGAGCTACGACTAATTACCCTTAGGCCCCAAGGGCAAAGAGTCATATATATACATCATCTACTGCCAATATTTAATATCACTGTAATCCCGGTGCCATTTCGGGCTTTCAACATGGGGAAAAAGCTCTCGACATGGACGCTTCTAGTGGTCTTTTCTCTGCTGGTAGTGAAAGGTAAGCGCTGCGCCCCTCTTTGTTGAAGCCGGTGCCATGCCTACTTCATCATTTTTGTCGGCACCGTAGGCAAGCATTGATTTAAAGCATTAAGACTTTGACTTTAATGTAGCCTCCATTTTTATGGAGAACACGGGGTGCAGGAATCACATAAATCACCGTGTTTGAGTTGCGTTTTAACATCTGTCTGGGTCTGGATCATCTGTCTGGATCGAGCCTTTGCTACGGCGCTGTGCATGACATACCGAGGCTCAACAAATGATGTTTATCTAAATACGAAGAATTCAATTGAATTAAACATTTTAAATCTGTCCGTTAAGCATATTAATGAGAATGAGAAGAATAGGCCTATTACTGTTACTGAATATTAAAAGGGCATCACTAATATTAATCTCTTGTATATTTTGTTTCCCCTTGCGCAAATATGTATTTAGGACTATTTAGGATATTGCTATGAATACATTTGGATCTTTTTTTGAACAATGTGTATCACGTATATTTGTATTTTGATGATGTTTCGCTTATTTCATCGTCATGTATTTTAAATTCAAATTATATTAATATTATGCCAACTTAACAGAAAATTAAATGCTTCGTTTACGTGATCTAACGGCATTAATCATGTTTTATATCTGGGCTTGAAAGAAAATCAACACAATACTGTTCAGTACGGCTTGAAATTAAATATATTCACAGAACAGTATTTCCACATAGTCTCCTCATCCTAGCACGGTACAGGTAGACTACGTTGGGAGGATTGGAGTCAGAGCGCATGCGCATACGAAGCCACAATGCGCCCAGGTACAGCATAGGAGTTTGGAATTTTTTGGAAACTGCGGAAGATAGGAAGATACCATTATTTTATGACAGGGGGTTACGGTCCCCCTCTGTTGGTGTGAGGCACACACAAGTTCAATGTCAAAGATTCCATGCTTGTATGAGCAAAATCATGTAGGCGTATGAAAAACAATGACATCCTTTTCTGAAAAAGACTACTTTAAATATTGTTTAGAAGCACGGATGGTATATTGTATAAAAATCCCCTTACCTAACCCACCATTGAAATGAATGAGGCAAGCCAGCATCTGCAGTTCTGGCAGAGGTAAACTGCTCCTCCCCTTTTCCTGTCAGCCACACCCCGCTGTTGTATATGTAATTAGATACACGTTTACACTCCCTTACCTGAAAACTTATTGTGTATTTATGAGCATATAGTTTTACCACCGTTTTAGGTGTCAGGTTCATGTTTTGAAATGCTTTCATTTTAATTCCAATATATTTGTCAGTAATTTATCGTTATCTGAATAACCAACGAAACCCAAAATTAAAACATATTAATTAATGTACTGTATTTAAGCCCATAGGTATCTATTGTGAATGGGAAAAACATCAGATAGATTAACTGCTGTCACATGATGTATTGATCACATAACAGTGTGCCAATGCTGAGCTGGCTTTGGCAGCGCTGCACGAATAGCTGTTGCTTTTAACTTTTAGCTAAACCTACTGAGCATTAAAACAACCTATTACTGAACAAGGGAAAAAAGGCAGAAGAGGCAGGCAGACAGAAAGGAATTTAGAAAAAGACAGTGGGATTGACAGATTAAAAGAGACATAAAGAAATAGCTAGGCCTGGGCGATAAAACGGTATCGATATTTATCAACGGTACACCTTGTTCGATATCAATAGAAAAATTGTTCGATATAGCGCACGATATAGGCACGTACTATGAGGGACACAGACAGCACACACAAACACGAACACATGCTGAAATGAGTGCTGTGCCTGCCTGTGATGATGAGATTTTGAATAAAGAATGAATATTAGTCAAATTTAAAATAAACATTTGCATTTGAATGTTAGGTGTGCATCAGGGAGCGTCATCAGTGGCGCGCGAGATGCGGTGATGATGTAAGTGACGTTGCATTTTAAAGGGGTCATATGACGTTGAACTGTTCTGGAACAGTGTTGTAAATACAACTTAACCACTGATTTCTAGTCGTGTCCTTTTTTGGAAGACCAAACAAAGTAGCTTCGTTTTCACAACGAAACACACGGCGGGCTAGAGTGAGGAACGGCCGGTGAGCTTGAGTGAGCGGAGGCCGGCGGGCTAGAGTGAGCAGCGGCGGGCCGGCTTGAGAACGGCGTGGCCGGCGGATTCGACGAAGGAGTGTCCGGAGGGCTTGCGACAACCACATGTGACGACTCCGGGCTGGACTCCGCTTCGTCCACGGTGAAAGCCAATCCGGCGATCCACAGCGCTAAGTTGATGTATTCCCTCAGTGACCAGCACGGATCAGCT